CATATGATGTTTGCAATCAATTTAAATTGCTTTGTCTAAACCATTATTCAACAATCAATGAAAATAATTAAAAATGTAACCGCAGCAGTTATGCAAGTGTTCAATTACCACACTTCTGTTTACCTGTTGACGTTTAAACTGGACACAAATTTGTTTATAATAGTAGGTGTGCGTTGTCTAATACATTTTGTATTTAGGACAACCAGTCATGCGTTCTCAAACATCTCGGGGTAATGATTGACAGGTATTGTAATCTATGTAACATATAAATCGGGGTACAATAAAGGATAGCATGTTTTCAATTAGTAAAAACAGTTCACTTTTTATAGGAAGACAAAATTAAAATATTTTCCGTTGAATCAACACAAGTAATGTAATTATCACAATATAAATTTGTTATAAATAAACAAGTGTTTAAATTTTTATTTAAAATTCTACACACAGACCTTGATAGACCTCGTTGCTTGTCTTAATTGCTCTCACTAAAGATAGCAAACTTCAGTATTGGAATTGATTTTAAAATTTTAAATTCCCAATAATAGACTGTCAATGCCGACTTCGCAGATCAACGGGACATTATCTAGGTGACATGTCGCGATCATTTAATTGTATGTGTTCATAAGAAATTTCAGTAAACTTTAATTAATGTCCATCACGGAACTGAGGGATACGCGTTTTCCATTATAGCTGCAGAGTAGAAACCTGACAAATTCTTCAAGTCAAGCCCAACAATTTTTTTCACTAATGACATTATCCATATACTTCTGTGTTTCCGTGACCAATATGTATTTAGTTTTCCGGGACAAGGACCAAAAATAGACATAACTGATTTATTTTTCTAAACATGGCAATTAAAGACGAATTTAATTTGATAAAAAAAAATCACATTCTGACCCAAACTATCGGTTAACGTTATGTATCTATCATAGATATAAGTTCAATTTACGCGTTTTTTGTTTTACGTAAAACGACTTCCATTCATAGATATTTGCAGTTGTGTATTGCAAAGGTACCACCTGTATTCATAGTTTACATTAGTCGTATTAAAATAGATTTTTATTATTGACCAATGAAAAAAAATCGATAGTTATTTAATCAGAAAAGCAATGCTTAAAAGCGTTTCGTATTTGTATTTCGATCTTTCTCCTTAATTTGAAAAAACCTGCAACACTGATACAAGAAAACGAAAAAAGATGTAATCATCTAAAGCAGCGACATTTTATATTATATGTCTCTGTCTTAACCATAGCTCTATACTATCTGTTTCTGTCTTCATTTACAGGTAACTATATTTTCAAAAACATCGGAAATAAGATGGTTAAGTTTAACAGATTCTGATTTGCATTGAATATATATATATATCTGTTCTACATTTTAACGATGTATTTATAACCGTCGCTCACGCTTCACTGGTTCTATAGACGACTCAATACACATCAGTTTTATCGGACAAACAGCTAATTCCCGTCGACACGATAAATCATGTGTATTAACTGAAACACTTTTAAAAATACTATAGCTAATGTTAAATAATACACACGTCGTTCGCGCGAGTTATTAAAGGGACATCGTTATCTAAGAGTATGAGAGGGATTACGGCAAACATCTAAAACGCCGGACGAAAGTCTAAAAATACAGCAAACGTCTAAAGTCAGAGGAGGAGGTCTATTTCTGTGTCAAACATCTATAATTACGAATTATGGTTATTTATTAACCATAATCTGGCGTTCTTGCCATTAATCGGGCACTATAACCATATGGCTTTCCTAGTGATACATGTTCATGTTTTCTCACTGTTTTATCTTCATTTTCACTTCCCCATGTTCACACCCAACAACTCCGGGTTGAATTGTAGTTATTCTTGAATAAGAGGAGCCATGCAGGTTTGATATTGGAATTGTTACAAATGACAATTAAAGAAAATATTGGTTACCAGGGCCTAATCTAGGATTTTTGAGAGGGAGAAGTGACTTCTCCTTCCATGAGAGAGTTGGGAGAAGTGATCAATTTCATGGAGAAGTGAAATTCCATTACCGTTTCGTTTGCATAGTGTTTTCGTGTACATCATTAAGGGAAAATTGTTTTTATTTATGCAATAATAAATATACTTGCAGTGTTTTATATGATATTGTATAAAATGTATGAATTGAAAATTCTTCATAAAAAGGTTTAGACAATGTAGTTGTTATTTATTCATTCAACCTTTTGTGATGTCAACTTGAATTTAAGTTTGTTGCTTGCCTAGTAATATCAGAGACATATAATACAATTGTATTATAGGTCTCTGGGAATATTATCATGCATTAATCCCATGTGCGTCTGCTTCAATAAGTCCAGAAAAATATGGCTCCCAGTTTATGTGATGACTTTTTAATGACTGGGCAATTTAATGTTTTTCATCACATGACATAATTTTTAAAAAATATTGACTGTCCAGTACATCATGTCAGCTGTAAGTTGAGAATCTCGTGAAAGATTCAATATAAATGAAAATATTTAGCAATCACATTTTAATGAGTCGATAAAGAGCTAATTTTTATCATTTTGTTATACAAGATATCTCCCCAATTTATGAGCCCTAATTAACAAATTGGTCACAAGCTGGCCATTTGTTTTGTACGTTTGCAGTCAACTTATCCATAAGCTGTCTTTCTACCTATTATATTTCAATTTTTAATCAAAGAATGTAAAAAATTTCCGTTCATTCCCACCCTTGACCTACCGAATAGTAAAATTGATCGTCTCGTAATAAATAAAAAGAAAACAAATCAGCTGAGTGATTACGCAACATCCTCGGATGAAAATCATCGTAAAATGATAATTCAACAGACGCTCTGTTTCTTGTTTCACTAGTTTTGAATGTTAAATCTGTGGATGCTCAAAGTCGCCATTGTATTTATTTCATTTATTCGAAAGTATTAGTCCTGGGTCACTTTCGAAAATTTCGATTTTCCTTGTCGCCGCCATTTTTGTTACCTGTGAAACTTGTAAAATTTAAGTTGTCTCCCTTTTACCGATTTTGATAGCGATTTGACTTCGCCATGAAGTCAGTCAGCCGGCGAGTTTTAGCGATTTTCAAAATTCCTTGGCGACTTAAATCGTCATTTCGCCGGCAAGATTATGGCCTGGGTTACTCTATAATGAAATGAATATAATAAACAATATATCAGTCTATTCACTATTCCTTACAATAAAATGTAGGAATAAGATATTTTCGATCAAGACACATAGGGTTTTTGTCCTGGTAAGAGCCTCCTCCATCATTTAAATTTCATCCATGGAGTCCTCTAATTGAGTATTATCGCACTATCGCCCATGCTTGGTGAAACAACAAAGGTGCAAGAAAATATTTACAGATGCAAGTTAAACACAGTCTGATAGTTGTGATTAAGGGATGCTGCAGCTCAGTAGACCCTGCTTAAAAGCATCTAGTGAGGTACTATCCACCAAAGGTTGTGGAAAGCTGTTCCATATCCGTATACTGCCTGGGAAGAATGAATGCCTGTGTGTTGATGTTTTGGCATATGGTACATGAAATTGTGCTGTGTGTCCTCTAACTACTGATTATGAATTATGTAGCTCTAGTGTTGGTATTGCTACAAGGCCTGGCCATAAAAAAGAATAGGTTTGTTTGCCCTAACCCTACCTATGTATTCCCAGAAAATAGCTGCCTACTCAAAATCTTTTATTGTCCTGATGTGAAAATATTTTGTTTTATTCAGATAGGCATGAAGACTTATAAACATTGATACTTAAATTTCTCTTTGCCAAATAAAAAAGAACAGAAAATGCCTACCTACCTACCCACTGTCTCGATGTTGGGTAGGGTTTGGGCAAACCAAAATATTTTTAAGTGTGGCCCCACGTACTATTCTGTATGTCATTACCGCTTTACATCTAGCCCTCCCCAAGACTAGTGGTTGTTACTGTAGAGTTTTTAGCATTGATGACACACTGCTGGTTTGTTGGTAGTCGTTCATTAAAAACTGGGCTGATCTTCTTTGCACACTTTCTGGTTTCTGTATGTTAAGGTTGGTAAATGGGTCCCAAACTGAACAAGCATACTTAAGCAATGGTCTAACTAGCGTTGTGTAGCATACAGCTTTAGTATGTTGTGGACAGTGGTGCAGGTTTCTTTGGATGAAGCCCTAGTTGAATTTGCCTTTTTTAAGTTTTAGCTATACTTTTTATGTGTGTGTGCACGTGTTTTAATTAATGGTTTTATGGGTTGCTACTCCTAGATATTTCGCTGAATCAACCAATTCTAAATTATGTCCATGAATGTTATATCTTGTGAGATGTGGTTTGTGCTTGTTGGTAAGCATTGAAGTTGGCATTTGCTTGTCTGCTCTGAGTGGGAAAAATGTGTACAAGCAGGATGTTATTTCATGTCTTCCTGCTGACTGACCATGAGAGCAAAAAAATCAAAATTCCATGGCATGTCATCCTAGTACAAAGCAGGTTTAGTATCTCATTAAGATTTAATCATCTAAAATATGCATTCAACACTTTCTGTTGAATATTTATCAGACATCAATCAATCAATCTGAAGTAGCACAATCCATTGAACTTCCTTCTGACTTCTTAAAATCATGTTTCGAGCCTGTTCATCTAAATCACTATGGAGAGAAAACTGACTAGTATCTACAATACAAAACTATTATCCATGCATATAAAATAAATATAAAGTTTTCAATGCCTGTCAAAGAATAGAAAAGTTCATCCTATTAAAAAGGGGTTGTTGCCAATGTTGGTAAATTATAGTAATTGACATTTGAAAATTCACACAGTTATATGTGCAAAGTGAAAATCAATTACTTGTGTGTGTGTGTTAATTAAATTGTAGATTGTGCATTGCAATTTTTATATATATACATTAAAAATGTACAGATAAATATAAATAGCAATGAACATCTTCTACATTGACACTTCCGGGTTTGTTTACATATTTATACACATTAGAACGGCGAAGTTTGAAATATTTTTTTCATTGTGCTTACTCCTGTGCCATTATCACAGACAACAACTTTCCTCCCATCTTTATCCATGGCAGATGGTGATGGATTTAGCAGTAATATGCAAACTTTGGTCTTTTCCTCCTAGCAGACAAACCGGAAGTTAACACCCCGGCATTTGACTCACAACGGGAAATACGTTACAATGGCCGTGATTGGTTATTTTAAGATGTTCAATCAATGAAATCTCGTGTATTATTCAACCATTAAACAACAACAATGGCAGCCACCAGTCGAATTCTGACAGCTGTCTTATTTCTCGTTATTTTCTCTAATAGCAAAGGGAAATATCAACAAGTTGAAATTGAAATAGCAGGGAAGAACGAAAATGAACCTGCAAAGATTTTCTCGGAATCTGAACTCAGACAATTCGACGGATCTGATGTACGACTATCAAATATGCTATTTTATGAAAAAGGGGGGAGGAGTTTCAAGTATTAATGGAAACAGAGCCCTTATCGCTTTTTAACCAACTCTTACATAAAAATATACACTAATCAAAACTTGTTATACCCTCTAAACTGCACATACTGTCAAAGAAATAGCTTTTGATTCACACAAAAAAAATCATTCTATCCAAGAAATAGACAACATGTATCCTGACGTCTCATGTGTTTTCGTGCTATTAGAAATGCATTGTGACGTCATAATTTCCATTGAAAAAGCATGCATACTAATGATAGTACAAATTCATATGACGTATGAACACATATGATCTGACCATAATAATAAGGAGATGTGGTATGATTGCCAATGAGACTATCCACCACATACCTGTACTGCATGTCTACACCAGGGTTTACACTTAATGTAATAAACACAATTTGTATTTCTTCAGATGTATCATGTATATACTGAATTAAAACATTTAAATTACATAAATTTCCCATAATTAAGTACCATAACTCTGAAACGGTAGAAGTGAAAACAAACAAAATCAAAATTAACCTGTGTTAAAAAGTCCAAAACATTCCATAAAAATTTGTAAAAGTTTAAAAAAAGGTTTTTCCATCTATTTATTATCCAGAAACCACAAAAATGTTAATTACCATAACTCTAGATCTGGAACAGTATAATTAAAAACAATAAAATCGAAATTAACCTGTCTTTTGTGGTCCAAAAACTTTTCATTAAAATTTCAATTGATTTCACAAATGTTTCAAATTTTTTTTTCATTTAACTAAGTACAACATATGAAGATCATGATGAGAATATTAAAAATCACACTTCCCAAGCAGAAAATGCAAAAAACGCCTCAGTAGTCTTAGGAGCATGTTCGCCTTGAGTGCGGGAGGTAGTGGGTTCTAACCCCGGCCGGGTCAAACCAAAGACTTTAAAATTGGTATTTGCTGCTTCTCCGCCAAGCACGCATCATTAAGGAGTAAGGGCAAAGACTGGTCTGCTTTGAGTCAGAATAATGTGTCCGGGTAAGGTGACAAGTCTTCCTGCAGACTGTTACCTTGTGAGCTAGCACGTTAAAATCCCGGCTCAGCGTGTCGGTCTAGTACAAAGGAGGGTAAATATTCATATTACATTAACATACTCTCATCCTGAATATGCATATTAATTTGCCGCTGAACGTTATAACAAAATTTGTTATATTTCATTTAACATTTTTCTTTACTTATAACTGATTACATTTACTGATTTCTTTTTTAGTCTGAAAAGCCAGTTTATCTTGCAGTACGTGGTGTTGTTTTTGATGTAACAGAAGGCAAAGGTAGATAACTCTTTTTTTTAATTACATTTGGAAAAGTAAATTCCTTTAGTAAACTGTTTACAAAATAAATCACACATTTTCACTCTACCTGCCCAACTTGGTTATACTAAACTTGTTATATAGATGATATGATCAATCACATTGAACAACAATCCATCATAGTAAATACTAGTTTTATGATTTTTCATTCCTGCTTCACATCTTATTTTTATATCGATATCAAAAACTATTTTCATATACAAAATTTGTTATCAACAAGTAATCATATGAATGTAATTTCAAAGTAATCATGATTACACCTTTGTTTTACATTGTAATCGATTAAATTATTATTGTAATCAGAAATTACATGATTACTGATTACATGGGATTACATTGCAAAATTTAATCGATTACAGCTGATTAAAATTACCCCATGCCTGACTAGCACCAGACATATACTCCTTAATTAGCTAACATATTATGCATTTGTATTTTCTCATACGATTTTACATGTAATTCTTCAAGTGTTCCATGATGTTTCCAATATTTCCATAGTGGTCGACATTGACTGTCAGTGCACCAGGTTCTATAGTGGTCGACATTGACTGTCATTGCACCAGGTTCTAAAGGAAAAATATCAATCAAAATTATGTCTAATAATCTCTTGAAAATCATTTTTCTTGACTATTTCTGAACTAACAATTACTGTTGAGTGGGAAATTTTCAAGAGGAGTATTATTATTTATATTTGCTTAATCACAGATTGAAAGAAAATTGCAAAAAATATTCCCAGTTGGTATAAAAAAATGTAAAACAAACAAAAATACCAAACTCCAAGGAAAATTCAAAACGGAAAGTCCTTTATCAAATGGCAATATCAAAAGCTCAAGCACATCAAACGAATGGAAAACAACTGTCATACTCCTGACTTGGTACAGGCATCTCTTGTGTAGAAAATGGTGGATTAAATCTGGTTTTATAGCTAGCTAAACCCAGGTTTAAGCTAGGAATTTGAGGGCTTAAGTCACTTTTGCATGACAAGAAAATCAACCTTTCTTGTGTAGCAGCTTAACATGATACTAGTATTTCTAAAGCAGTTATTACATAGGGTTTAATACTCTGGAAAGACAAACTGAAAAATAAAAAAAATCACAAGGGAGCTTCTTTTTATCAATCCCCACAATAATGTAAAGTTGAAGGAAATCAATGCAGGAATACTGGAGTTTAATTTATAGTGCCTGATTTGTGAATAATTGGCTTAAATCTAAGGGTCAAAGTTCCCTTATTCTAGAATGACATAGCATAAAATAAAAAAAAATAAAAATGGAGCTTTCTTCCATCAATTCTAATGTTGCGTTCAAGTTATATGAGAATTTATCAAAGTGAATTGACTGTTCATACAAAGTGTTGACGGACCGTCATTGGTATACTATAATAGGTTCCATCTTGGACAGACATATAAAAATAAGAAAGCGTTTAGCTGAGAAACTTGGAAATCAGCTGAAATATAGAAATCTGCAGATAATGACTGAGTAAAACTACGACACAGTAAATGCAAAACAAGAATTGTCGATATATAGAAAATGCAGAGAATTATAATTAAAACTTCTGAAATCTTAACCTTGTACTTTTCTTACCAAAACATAATTTGTTGTTTTCAAATTTACAGATTTTTATGGAAAAGGTGCAGCTTATAACCAACTAGCAGGAAAAGATGCTTCATATGCCATAGCTACATGGTCATTAGAAGACAAAGATATGCATCATGATATAGTAAGAAAAAATGTTCTTTAGATGAAGAAGTTTCTTTTCAGTGCTCTCTGAAAATGTTAAATTTATAAAGGAACTGTATTGTACATAAGATGAGTATAAAACATAGCTGGTTGTAAAAATTAAACATCCAAATTTTGTTACTACATGTAGTATCTTTCGTGTTTTTGTTCATCTTGGTCTTGAACTTGCTGTTTAAAACAAAACACTTTAAAAATGGTATTTTCTGCCAAATGTGTGGATATTTAGGAATATTAGTAAAGACTGGTTGGCTCTTAGTCAAAAAATGTGTTGATGTAGGATCCTATGTGACTGTCTTCTTGAGGACTGTTATCTCATGAGCTAACACATTAAAATTTTTCATATACATGTGTTACACAATATACCTTCATTTATACTAGAGAATGCCTGGTATATTGCAGTCATTTTTTTTTTTTTTCCTTACTAAGCTTCTATATTAAGGAACAATTTGATATTTGGTCGGGAATTTTATAATATGTATATTGAGCATGGGATTTGTCAGGGTCCTGAAATAGCAATCGAGTATACTGACCACAACATATATGATAATGCATTCAATTTCTTGTGTTTTTTTTTATTACAGAGTTCATTGTCAGATAACGAATTAAAAGGATTAGATGATGTATTCGTAGGAACATACAAGAAGAAATATCCTACTGTTGGGTACCTGCAATATCTTATAGACAAACATGCTGACAAGGTTTCTGAAAGATTAAGTGATGAATTGTAGATTTGGTTGTGATTTCTAATATACATGTGATATTATAACTGCTCACAACTTTTATCAAATTTCTGTTTTTGGCAAACATTTTGAAATTTTGAGCAACAATGTCATAGAAATGAAGTTTTTAATATCAAAAATATCCTGGTTCATGTCAATTATGTTGCCAGGATTACTCTCCATATATACTCTCTAATGCAAAATTTAATTAAAAAATTTTTTTTTGCATGAAAGTAAAAAATAGGTAGGTTTTATTTTATATTAATTGTTTTTTCTACGAAAAAAAACATTCCTATCAGGAGAGAAAATCTTTTGAATATATGCAAATAAAGGATAGAATTTTAAGTAACTAAAAAAAATCAGTCAATTTTTCTTCTGTCACATGATTCTTGCATTTCTTCACTGCTGGGTATTCCAATGCCTGTAGATGTGGGTATGTTGTATTTTATAGTATACATTCCATTTTGAAGAATCTCATAGTCTGTCAATTGTTTAAAACTCATATATGGTGATATTTTGGTTGTATTTATGTATTTTCAGTAGGACAAAAGAAAACAACAAAAAATGTGAAAATGTGAACTTAAACACAACAATGAAGCATTTTATCAGCTTGTATTTTTTACCAAAAAATAAAATAACACTGTAAAGTTTGGTGAATCCTTGAATTAAGGTGGTACCAAACACCTTGACTAAAATTAATTTGGCTTGTTTAATTTTCATAAAATTTTGACAAAATATTTACTTCGACCCTTTGACAAAAATATAAAAATTTCAAGAAACTTGAACCAAACACTTTATCGGAAAAATTTCATTGGATATATAGCAGTTTGACAAACACTAATTTTGATCATTGAGAAGTTTAATATTTCCTTAACAATAGAATGTGATTAAAACGTTCAGCTGATTGTTACAGAGTTATCTCCCTGTACTGTTATGTGCCACCTTTAGATCTGTTGAAGATTTCTAATTTTAAGAAATTGAATCTAGAAATATTTTTGACATAGTTTAATCATTTTGTCCAGGTGACACATGTTCATATATTATTTATTGCGGGAAATTTTAGTTTTGCTTTTTCATCTGTTTGACTTGACTTAATGTGATAATAATTTATATCAGAATCATGTTTTTGAATGTTTTGACGGTAACATTCCATTTTCTAGTCCATTTTCTAGTCTTTGTGTGTAATTTATTTTGATCCAGTCCATGTTACCGTATGTACAGTATTTATGAAATAATGAAAATGTAACATTTTTTGGTGACATCAGATAATCATGGCTTAAAAAAAGAGTACTGTTAATTCAGATATTTAGTACATGAGTTAATTATAATTTGTTTGCCAGTTTTTAGTCACAAGTTGAATATTTTTTTTATATTTGAATTCTTAGATCAGTTTTTCTATTTATAACAATAACTTTTAGATGGATATATACATGTAGTAGAAATCGAAAAAAAAAAATACTTCATTTTTAATGCATTCTCAATTTGTTAAGAGGCTCTAGGACATAATTTCATCCAATGTCTAGACTCTACCCATTGCTGTAAGACTCAGAGGAGTGAAATTATCAATTTATATTTTACTGGACAATCACTGCATTTCACTGCAACCATAGTAATAACTATTCATGTACATGTACTGTTGTTGTTGTTATTTTGACAATTTTATTATTTGTTTACTATGCAATGTATGTAGTTTGTGTTCCTACTATAAAACAGCATAGTTCTAACTCAATCAATTAATATGTGTACATAAAACTGTCACTGGTATTTGGTGTTGTAGTAAATACTACCTATACCATTTCAAACAAGAGGAAAACTCTTTTTTACTACAGAAAAATCATGCAATTTTAAGGTTTTCCATGTCAATCCAAATTGAAAAGCAAAAGAAGAGGTTTAATTAAAACCATTAAAATATAATAGCAAAAATTCTAAAATTCTTCAAGCCTTTCAAAATAAAGTTAATTTTGGTGATACATTGTAAATGAATTGAATGTTTTAATCTCGTCATTTTAGTGAAAAATGTAACTTATGATGTCATTGACTATTAAACATGAGCCAAAGCCATTACTCAGAAAGGTATTTTTCTTACATTAACATCTTTGTTTAAGACATTTTGGGTAAGGCTTTGGCACATATATAAATATTAATCACAAGATATCTAAATGATGCTATTTTGGCAGTTGAAATTGAAGCAATAATACAAATATATAATTCAAAATTCAACAATATGAATACTGATAACTGGCAGACATATGTCTTATGAATATTCTAAGGATGTTTTTTGATAAATTTAATATACTTTTGATATTCGAATTCAGTGGACTAAAAAGGGGCCTTATCATATTTTCTCCTTTATATATATACCTTTGCTTAAATTTTAACACTTGACATGCAGAGGGAACATTTTATTTTATCAAATTTAAATATTAGTAGAAAATGATAAACCAGTTTTTGTTGGCATATGCATACAAGTTTATTTTGTATTTTTTCTATCATGTATCAATTTATGAGGGCCATTGTGAAAGTTTTCAAATTTATGTATTGAATGCCCCTGGTGCTATTTCAGTTATTTAAAGCCTTGTTTAGGATTTTATGGATATCAGAATTTCATCCTTTTAATTGTGGCAATGCAATATATTTAACATCTTCATAACTATTAGGGATGAGGAAATAAAAAACATGTATTTTTTGACAAACATGATAATTAAAATTTTAGGTATATGGAAATAGTTAATTTATTTTGTGGTATTTTAATTCAAGAATTGTAGGGATATGAGATATCTGCTAACCTCTAAACAAGGCTCTTAGTTGGTGCTTCCTGTTATTAATTTGGTGCAGATAATTGCTCATTGATTTGATATTTTTTGCTAAAAGTTTATATACATATCAAATGAAAATTGTTATATTTTCAAATTTTATAGATTTATTAAATAAACAGAATTAAAAACATGCTTGTTTTTTTCTTGCAACATATTTTGCATGAAGCCTTACTTTTTTTTTAAAGATTTGAAACCTATATTGATTGATTGCTGCTTGTTTAAGGCTCAATCCTGGGTTTCACAAAAAATCTAAGGACTAACATTGACTGAAAGTAAACTATATAAAAATAAGGAGATGTGGTATGATTGCCAATGAAACAACTATCCACCAAGGTTCAAATGAAGTGGATGTAAGCAATTATAGGCAACCGTACGGCCTTCAACAATGAGAAAAACCTACATTGTATAGTCAGCTATAAAAGGCCCCGAATGAAAAATATGAAACAATTCAATTAAGAAAACTAACGGCCTAATTTATAACAAAACAATTGTTCAAGACTGACTACCAATTTTAGTTGTAAGTTTTTTTGTCAAACGTATGCCCATGGCACATCTTCTATAATTATTTTGCTTACAGGTATTCTTTGAACATATTACCTATGAATATCAACCCCATATTGTTCTACTTCAATATGGTTATTATCGCTGCGATATAGCCTTTTTGTGCTGACACGGCGTAAAGCAATCACCAATCAATCAATCAACATGGTTATGGTGTAAAAGCTGCATGGTATTTTGTTAGGATACGTGATACAGCATTCCAAAACAATATCCCGACTTTTAACAAGACATCAAAGGAAAAACACTTTTATTGCTGTTCTTCATCTTGATAGTTGTTAGATGATTTCAACCATGAGCTAAGGAACACACACAGATTAACAAAATCAAGAAGTGTTATACTTAAACTGTAATCTGACATTCTCTGTTATTTGTTCTCTGGTTAATAGTTGCCTCATTGGCAATCATACCAGATTTTTTTTTTATATATGAGACAAAATACTTCAAATTAGTATTCGCTCTTTTAAAATTACAATATTAGACATGATTTTTGTCGAGCCTGCAACTTCTGTCTCAGAAAGCTCAACATAGGGATAGTGATCCAGCGGCAGCGTTAACTAACTTCTTAATAGCTTAATATTTCAGAAGGCAGAAGACATGGATGCTTCATACTTTGTATATAGATGATACTTTATGATATGAAATTTCCTTCTGTCATATGTCCATTGTCCTTGACCTCATTTTAATGGTTCAGTGACTACTTGAAAAAAAAGTTTTTTGTAATGTTAATTTCTCTCTTATTATGAGTAATAGGATAACTATATTTGGTATGTGCGTACCTTGCAAGGTCCTCATGCCTGTCAGACAGTTTTCACTTGACCTCGACCTCATTTCATGGATCAATGAACAAGGTTAAATTTTCATGGTCAAGTCCATATCTCAGATACTATAAGCAATAGGTCTACTATATTTGGTCTATGTAATGATTGTAAGGTGTACATGTCCAACTGGCAGGTGTCATCTGACCTTGACCTCATTTTCATGGTTCAGTGGTAAAAGTTAAGTTTTTGTATTTTGGTCTGTTTTTCTAACTATATTTGGTGTATGGAAATATTTTACAATGTACATGTCAGTCTGGCAGGTTTTATTTGACCTTGACCTCCTTTTCACAGTTCATTGCTCAATGTTAAGTTTTTGTGTTTTGGTCTGTTTTTTCTAATAATGTATGCATTAGGTCAACTATATTTGGTGTATGGAAATATTTTATGATGTTCATGTCAGTCTGGCAGGTTTTATTTGACCGTGACCTCATTTTCATGGTTCATTGCTAAATGTTAAGTTTTTGTGGTTTGGTCTGTTTTTCTTACTTTAAGCAATAGGCCAACTATATTTGGTGTGTGGAATGATTGTAAGGTGTATATGTCTGTCTGGCAGGTATCATCTGACCTTCACCTCATTTTCATGGTTCATTGGTCAATGTTCAGTTTTCCTGGTTTACTTTGTTTCTTAGATACTATTAATAATAGGTCAACTATATTTGATGCATGGAATGATTTTAAGGTGTTCATGTCTGTCTGGCAGGGTTCATCTGACCTTGACCTCATTTTCATGGTTCATTGGTCAATATAAAATTTTCATGGTTTGTCTGTTTCTTTTATACTATAAGCAATAGGACATCTATATTCGGTGTATGGATTGATTGTATTAAAGGTGTACATGTATTTCCGGCTTGGTTTATCTGACCTTGACCTCATTTTCTTGGATCATAAATGTTAATGTGATACATGTAATAAAACTTTATATTTAGGACTATCAACATAAAATCAATGGTCAGTATAGTAGGCGAGACATTTCAGCGTGTGCACTCTTGTATTGATATGTATAGCAACATAAAATGCAATTTCAAAGATTATAACAATTGCAATACTGATGCCAACTAGAAATAAATGAGCAATCTTTCAACACTGGACCCTAAAGAATATAATGAAATTCTCCTATTTTGTTGGTTGAATCAAATCTGAAAAGATTATCTCATAAAAGGCTTGTTTTCTTGGGATTTATAATTACTTGAAGTTCAAATGGCTGACATGTGCTCTTATTTTCTATTGGGTCTTATAGGAAGTAAATGCAAACAACTTCAGAAACTTAATATACAATTTTCATATTACTGACTGATTTTGGATTTCTTAAATCTGTAAGGGTTCTTTCCCTTAAGGTTGGATATTGTTGTCCTAGTGTTATGTATCGTTCAAGTGTTAATCTTGTTAATAAACTTGAACTAATTGTTCTCATCTACTTACTGTCTTAGTACATACAATTAGATAAATTATCAAAGTTAGGTCTCATTACTTTGAAACATTGTAATGATGGTAGTAAGTGTGTTGTTTGAAGATGAATTTATTAATGTATGTTTCATGTTCAAACCTTATTAACAATTTTTATGTTTTCTGTGTACAACAAAATCATCTATAAACAGTTTCTTTTAAACTGAGTTTTACTGTACATATTGCTGTATGTTTGTTTATTCCACATTGGCTAGAGGAATAGGGGGAGGGTTGAGATCTCACAAAACATGTTTAACCCCGCCACATTGTTACGCCTGTCCCAAGTCAGGAACCTCTGTTAGTCTTGTATGATTTTAAAAATTTTGGTTCATTTATATGTTTCTGAGTTAAATGTGACATTAATTTCCACTGTACTAGTACACATTACTGTTTAGTGGCCAGCTGAAGCCCGCTTCTGGGTGCAGGATTTTCTGGCTGTGTAAAAGACCCATTGGTGGCCTTGGGCTGTTTTCTGCTCTTTGACACATTCCCTGTTTCCATTCTCAATTTTATATTTTTTTTTGCCAAATTGCTGTGATTTAAAGCTTGGCTTTACTTCTTTAAGACTAGTTGCCATTACTTGACTGAGTACCAGAATAGAATGTCTTACCTAAGAGGTAACCTGTCAAACATTATATCTCCCTTCAAGCTCTTAAATTTTCAAGCACCACCATCTAATAGTTCTTAGTGGATAGGTTCCTCATAGACAATTATACATTGATTGATTGGTGTTTAAAGCCACTATTGGCTATTTTGTGGTGGTCAGTTTTTCGTTGTTGAAGGAAGCTGGAGAGTACGGTACAATCGACCTTTGGAAGGAAAACTGAAAATGCTAGTCAGGTAAGATTGGAGTCATACACACCTGCCATATGTAGGACTCAGCCATTGAGGCCCCTCATTAATACAAAATTTCCTCTTTGACAACACTATTAAACCATACCATATTTTTTGTATGATTTTTGCTGTCGACTTTAAAAAGTACAAAAATATCTTAGTTTATCAAAATTAAAAAACATAAAAATATTTCTGTATCCTATAAAATCGCCAAAATTTTACATTTGCAATAAGGAACTAATGATATGTTTATTTAGCAAACTGGATTATCCAGATTAAATTCATAAAACAATTCACCAAGTAACAAAATTTATTTGAGCAATAACAATCTAACAGTCATGAACAATAAGATGGCAAAAACAGAACTGCAACAAAAATATTTTTCCGTCATGTCTATATGGCACTATATATGCTTTGAGAAGATTTCACAATTATATCTACATTATATTAAAACTTATATACATCACACAGTGTTTAAAAATACCATTGTAAGGCCTGCTTAAAGATGAACACATCTACATTGTGCTCTAGGCTTCCGAAAAACTGAACGAGTTTCTATTTCCAGTGGATGTCCAACAAAGCTCATATTTCTTGATAGAATTTTGGTTAAGTAATTATAGACAGTAGAAGCTCATTTAAACTAACCATAAGAAGGACCGTTCCCAAGTATAGTTTACTAATTAAATAAGTACCTTTCAATGATATTTTCAAACACATAGTAATTTTCTCAAACTTGTTAAAAAATAGTTTGAAAATCTAATGTTACCACTTACTTCTATGTTTGAACAAAATCAAATTACATGTACATTTGTAATTTCCAAAAGACGTTTATATACAGGGCTCGACAATAACGCTTGTCCGATTGTCCGGTACCAGATGAAAAAAAGGTCGGACAAGTAAAAACTATATTAAGCTTGTCCGACGGGACAAGTTAAATTATTATGCAGGAAATAAATTTTATCCAACTTTGATGAACAAAGTAATTATAAACAAAAAACAAGAAAAGAAGATAAACACAAGTATTAATTTGACATGTTTACTTGCAATCGATAATTTAAAACTGGTTCTTTGTCATGTACTTTTTAACAAGTAAAAGGCATACTATTCTCGGAAACCAGTCTTACTGATCTGAATCAGGGATGCGCTTTACAGATAAGGTAACTTTACAAGACAGTTCGTCACCAGCTCGGAAATGATTCGGTTCCAAGTTTAATAGACAGTTTGGCACCGTAGGAGACATATCTAATAGACATGATTAATAGACAGTTTGGCACCGTAGGAGACATATCTAATAGACATGATTAATAGACAGTTTGGCAACGCAGGAGACAGGAGACATTTCGGGACCAAGACAAATCAGTACCTGGTGTTCCTACCTTATTCTGTTGCTTTATAATAAATACCATACCGTAATTTTTTGAACAAAAATATTTTTTAAATAAAAATGAAGAAATTATTTACCATAAAATTCCAAAATCATATTTGATCATATATAGAAGAAAAAACAATACTTGCAATACGGTGACCTATAGTTATTAATTTCTGTGTCATTTGGTCTCTTGCAGAGAGTTGTCTCATTGGCAATCATACCTCATCTTCTTTTTTTTATTGATTGAATTTGAATAAACTTTTTTCAACTTAAAAAACCAGGATACAAATCCAATGAGTGGAAATTGACAGGCCTATCAGACAGTGCCTCATGTGTAGAGTCTGTTGAAACTTTGGCATTTATGAAAACTAGAACCTAAGTCCTGTGACATGACTAGAATCAGTTGTTCTCGACTCATATTTTTAAAAGGTATTTCAAAAGATATAAATCAAATTCTGTTCTATTGTTTTAATTCATTTTGTTCCTTGAATCAACTTAAAATGCAAAAAAGGTTATTAATGAGATTTTTGTCGGACAAGTTACAATTTCATTCGGACAAGTAAGTTTTGGTATGTACTTGTCCTACTGGACAAGTTGGAAAAAAAGTTATTGTAGAGGCCTGATATACTGTGGGTGGATTTTTTTTTTCGCGGGTACCAATTTTCGTAGATTGAGTAAAACTTGCATATATGACTGTAGAAAATTTGTAATTTGTTGAACTTTTAAATTTGTGGTTAACCTAATCCCACAACATCCACGAAAAATTAGTATCCCACAAATAATAATGAATCCACACTCCACAGTATGTCTTCATCTTACAATCAATAGAACCTAATCTCAAAAAAGTCACATGATATTTTTTTAATCATCTGATGATTTTTCTTGTTGTAAATTGGCAAAGAAAGGATTTGGTAATACATATACAGGAAAGAATAATACCCTGAAATACTACGAAATAATCAATATATCAAAGAAAGTTAATTAAATTAAGATGATTCAAAACTCATGAATTTAGCATAAAATAATTTTTTCAGATAACTGACCAAAATTAAATTGTCATGATGTACATAAAAAATATTCAACATTTTTATTTCAAAGTAGTATTTAAAAAAATTAAACATTTTCATTTCAAAGTAGTACTTAAAAAAATAAAGATCTATGTGAGTCTTTGTCTCACATATAACCCCACACCACATCTATTTCAGTTAATATACAAATTCAATATCTAATTTGATTTCTAAAATCTAATCTTTGGGAATTGTAAACACATTGATACTAAACTTTGATGTACTGTAATCAGAAAGTAGTGATATAAGTTATGTTGAAATATATTTAGCAGTTTTTAAAATGCAGATTGCGAAATTTTCGTTATAATTACATTTTCATAGGCACTCATCTCTGAAAATTGAAATGTTGCAGAAGTTAAGAAAAAAAAGAGTAAGTGTAGAATTTCTTGTATACCAAATGTAAAAATACTAAATTTTATTAAAACAGTTATAATAATGCTGTTAAAATAAGACTGAATGAAAATTTTATTGTATACATGTACTGCATCCAAAACATTATACATTTTAACCCTCCATAAAGCAGTCATACAAATGGTATCTACTGTAGATTCATTTATTTTCATGAGTACCAATTTTCGTTCATTGAGGAAAACTTACATAATCGTGGATATTTAATTTCATGGTTTTTTTCAAAATCTGCATACAAGCCTATTGAAAATTTGTAATTCGTTGAACATTTAAATTTGTGGTTCCCCTAATCCTACAAATCAAGGAACATTGGAATCCAACGAATAATAAAGAATTGACAGTAATACTAAGATATGATAACTGACAAACATATCCCTACTGTAATATGAGCTCAGTCAGATAGAAATCGACCTTATGCAAGTGAACATATAAACACGTACATGTATAAGACTTTGATTTATTTTGGAACATTCAAATACGAAATAAAAGTTGAATTTTGGTCTGTGTTGTAGGGTTCTTATATTGCCTCAATTTTCAAACCTTTACAGAATTTGCGTAGAGATTTTTTTCAACCCGAAATAAGTTAACACATATATTGATATTCATTTGCATAAGGTCGATTTCTATCTGATGCAGCTCATATGATGACAACATTTTACATTACATTTTATTCAATGCTTGCTATAAATGTATTACATAAGTGTATTTAGACAAGGGAGGAACATTTAAATCAATGTCTTCTACACTTGAATGTAATAAGTGTATTTAGACAAGGGTAGAGTGGCCCTGTGGTAATATATTGATGTACGGCTGTGGCGTTCATTTCTGTCATAAACTGTAACGGATGAATAATTTGCTGAGGATTCACTAGTTTCCGTGCTACGCCTTCTATATTTTCACACATCTGAAATAAAAATCATAAAATATGTAGGATGCAAACATCTATTTCAATCAATAAGACAATCTCAAATGCAAGAAAAATGCAAGGATTTATCATGAAGCATTATTACACTTACTAGAATTTAACAAGTAGATTTTGAGTAAAAGAAAATAACTGTGTCATGGGGCCATATAGTCCTTATTCAAATTAACTCTTTACAAGTTTACAGTATGTCTAATATCATAGTCAAATACTTTACCTGTACAATGAGCAGTCAAATTAGGGCTATACCATTAAAATGTATGTGGGAGGGTAGGAAGGGACTTTCAAAATATCCCTACAACCAAGAACCATTTCAATAGATAATTTTGCATAATGGTAATAGACACATACTGAAAAAAGACCCACGACCCACATTCAATAATTAAACTTCCCTTCCTACCCTCCCACATACATTTTAATGGAATAGCCCTTACACTTAAATGCATATTTATGGACAGAATTTAAATTATCTGTGGTGTAATACCAGCAAAATATAGTTCGTCACATCCAGTTTCATACAAAAAAGTGTTGAAAAAATATATTCACTTGAATTTGACAGTTGTAGGATATTAACCCTGCATTTCATTGCAGAAAATTTTTCTGAGTCATAAACATATATCTTGCTTGTTTCAAAGCACCATTCTTTTTCTATTTGGTGTTTCTTTAAAATATTCTGGAAACTTGAGGTGGCACGGTTACTAAAGCTTGTAAACAGGAAAAGAAGGGTGAACATTTAATTGGTTTACTTCAGGTGATGGTTATTATCTTGTATGCAATGAAATGTTATGTGTAAATTTCACTGTAGTACCGATCCGATAAAACTTGACTCATGCCAAGTATTTTTTTATTTGAAACAAGATAAATTCTTCACATTTTTTTGAAAAATGCCTATTTAACAAAGACTAATGTATGGGTTTTGTGAATTGTTGAAGGCAGTACGGTGACCAAGGGTCCGGAAACGGTCATATTTGCCAGTCATGTCCTAAGATGAAACTATTTGTCCTAAACAAGTAATTGGGATTTAGGACAAATTTTATTTTTTTACAGAAGTAATTTCAGTCATTTCATTGACTCAATGTTTGAAATCGGATTTCTTAATCGCCATTTTGCACTTGTGATCACTTGTTTTTGTTTATAATCCCTTTCCTGTAATAAAACTGCCACTACAGTAGTTTGATAATCCTGAGGGCCCTCCTAATATCTATATCAATGCCTCCGGGAAACATTGGCTAATGATCGCTAATCACTTTTTACCTGTAGTTTTAATTCACACCTGACAGTGATCACAAAGCTCAGAATAATATCTTTAAAACATTAAAGTTCCCTGACAAGTGTATTCATTATTTATTTACTTTTCATCAAAGACAGTCATCAATTCTGATTTAAAAATTAAATCTAAATTTACGTAGAAAAAAGTATTTTTTCATGAGTAAAATATGTGCTTTATTAACTATGTAATACGCATGCGTGAAATTGTCTTCAGCAGATTTAATATTTAATCGTAAAATGCAAATTGATTTCATGCTAAATTAAACGAGTGCAACTATTATCTGTTATATTCAAACACTTTTAAAGGTAATAAAATAAAAAAGCCATAAAAAGCCGGTGACTTCCTGTCAATTTGATAAACAAAACAAATCACGGAAATGAATCCGGAATTATTCGTACTTTAAAATATCGCAAACTTCCGGTTTTAACTTTTGTCAAATTGAAAGAAACGTAAGCAATGTCTGAGAAATTAAGCATTTTGAGTCATTAAAATCATTTCAATTTTAGACTGTTGCCTTCACTAAACTATCCTTCATGGTAATGGTAAGACATTTACTTAGTAAATGCGATGAAACAGCAATACAAGTTCGTCATGTTCGTTGATGCTATGAATATAGTCCAGTTGATATCGACAATTTGAAAAGGGGCACCAACTTTTCAAACATCTCAAAATGACCGAAATTGTCTGGAAAAATTTCCGGATCCTTGACGGTGACCTATAGTTGTTAATTTCTACGTCATCTGGTCTCTGGTGGAGAGTTGTTTCATTGGCAATCATACCATATGATCATATCTTCTTATTTTCTTATAATATATATGGTGGTATTACCCCTGTACATAGCCACCCCTCTGACTCAAATTACCATTATATTATAGAGCCTATAGCAAACTTACCTGTACATTGTATGGTCCTAATTCAAACCTGTACTTCCTTCCATTTCTAGACAATAATCCACATAAACTAAAACATTGTCCTGAGTTCTGAAAGAAAGACAGATAATCATTATCATTCACTTTGTCCAAAAAAAACTTGAAATTTGTAACTTCAATTTTTCTTTGAAGTTTTAGATAAATGCTATCCCATAAATGACATAGTTTCTGCATCCCCTTAAAAATTGGTGATTTTCAGATGATCACTTCATCAGGAAGCTCTGAAGTAAAGCCATGATATTTGAAGAAATAATAATAAATAAATGGAGAATGTGTCTATGGGACACAGATAATGCCCCCGCTTGCATACAACGTTATAAAGGGACAAAACTCAAGAACGATAAAAGTGACGCTACCCAAATTTGTACTTGATCTGATTTTTGTGGTAATAAGCATTGTGTATAAGTTTCATAACATTTAGTTGAGGAAAACTGAAGTTAGAGAATGGAAACTAATCTTGGGGTACGTAATGACGGACAGACTGACTGAGGTACAGAAGGACAAGGGTAACACTTAATGCCCCCTCTGCCGCGGTGGAGAGGGACAAGGGTAACACTTAATGCCCCCTCCGCTGAGGTGGGGACATAAAAACAAAAACAAAAAGGCTTGTTTTGTTTAAATCTATTTCAATCATAATTATACTAACCTTCAGTACAGTTGATTGTCTTTGGTAGTTAAAGAAAACATGGTCAAGATCCATCAGTGCCTGTATTGGTATTTTTCTGTTCAAACTTCTTCGTTGACCTAAATAGAACAAAAATTCTATGTCACATGCAGTATGATATGGTAGTACAATGTAGCATGTCCATAAGACACATCTGGTAAGTATATACCAAAATCATAGAAAAAATCTTAAAAAATAAATACTAAGGAAAAATCTATGTCGCAGTTTTGCAGATTTCAAGGTTTTAAGACAATTTTTATTAAAATTTTCTTCACCCATTTGGCGTGCTTTCTATACAAATGTAATCAATGTTATGTACATGAATCAGACCGTTAGTTTTCTCGTTTGAATTGTTTTACATTTATCATTTCAAGGCCTTTTATAGCTGACTATGTGGTATGGGTTTTGCTCATTGTTGAAGGCCGTACGTTGACCTGTAGTTGTTAACTTCTATGTCATTCGGTCTCCTGTGGAGAGTTGTCTCATTGGCAATCATACCACCTCTTCCTATTTCTTATATCTTTTTTAAATAAATTCATAAAAAAACATTTTGGAAAATAAAATTTTTTTAAATTTAAAAAAAAAAATTAAAAGAGAGGTGAAAGATACCAAAGGGACATTCAAACTCAAAAGTCGAAAATAAACTGACAACGCCATGGCTAAAAAATTAAAAGACCAACATAGAAAACTAAAGACTGAGCAATATACCAAAAGCGAGTGTCGACACTATTTATGCCTGACATAAATCTGACTTCTAAGATAGTCTGTTTTTCTTGGTCTGATCTCAATCTACACACACAAGTCATGTGATTATGTCAAACTAGAGACTCTAAAGAGCCAGTGTCGATCACCTAGGTCAATGTGCATCTTCGACAATGGACACTCTCAAACATTGTGGACTAGAATAGAATAAATGACAAAAATTTCTTTTTTGTTAATCTTGTATTGCTGATAATTTTTTTTATTTACAGTTTCACTTTATCTTCTTTAGTAATTGCCAAAAACACATAAAAAATTTTCAACTAATAATTTCTGCAAAATTTGAGTTACTTGTAGATCTTGTCTTGCTGATCATCTTGCTACTCAAAAGTTTCTATCTATTTTTTGTAGTTTCCAAGATAATAGGCAAAAACGCAAAAAATATCGTCATTTGAAGATCTTGATAATTTTTGCTAACTAAAGTGTCTATCTATCTATTATAATAGTTTTCAAGATAATAGACAAAAAAACTAAAAATGGGTAAAAACCATAATTAAAGAGCAATAACTCCAATTAGGAGTCAACTGACAATTAAGGACATTTGACTTATATGTAGATCTTGTCTTGCTGATCATTTTATTTATTTGAGATGAGCTGACCAAGAATGCACACGGAGTCATGCTAAGCATACCCCCACTTAATATTGCAAAACAGAAATAGGTGTCAGACAGATCTGATAATCACACACACATTACAACTCATCACTGTTGAGCTGCAGACCAAATATGAAGTCATTCTGTTCAGAAGCATTGGAGGAATATGTGACGAAAAATGTATGTTCATTCAACATATTGAACAATACAAAGTATGATCAAACAGGAAGTAGAAGTCTGACATGTTTGCATGTTACAACTCATTACTGTCAAGCTGGTGATCAAAGATGAAGTCATTTTGGGAAAGTGTGATGAAATTATTTGTTTGACGAAAACAGATGAACACAGTGATTGAAAAATACTCAAATAGTGTAAACTGGTCCTTACTTTAGAGACTGTACTATATTCAACTTTGTACAGTTAACTCTCGTTGTCTTGAACTCGGTTGACTTGAAATTTAGGTTGAGTCGAAGTTTTCCTGTGGTCCTGAATTTTGTTCCATATAAATATATATATTTTGACTCCTGATGAGTCGAAATGGATGAGTCAAAATTAGGTTGACTCAAACCAAATGTACGTTCCCAAGGTGAAGTAATGCATTCAAATTGCATTATTTATCTCAAATTACATGAATTAATACACATATGTCAAAATATGACCTCGGGGATTTAAATGGATTGAAGAGTTCATCTGACAATATGCCTGTAATTAAATTTCCGTTCACTGACCACTTAATTGATTTATGACATTCTTTTTCCATGAGTGTTTACCTAAGATTATCTTTGATCACCGTGATATATTAGTGATAAATTGTTACAGTTTATGAAAAATTATCTAAAATGTTTTAAAAACAATAAACTGTATGCACACATGAGCTTGGTTGTGTATACAATAGAGATTAAGCCTTAGTGATCAACTCAAAACTACTCAATCGGCGTTTTTAATCTTTTTGTATTTTCTCTTGCAGAAAAAGATTGAAATAAAAGAAAATGAAATCTTAAATTTTATAAAAATCTCTCGTATACAAGAATGAACAATTTTGTCAACTTTAAATCAGGCTAAGATTGATAGGAAATTACTCTCTCGGCTAAAAACCACTGGAAAAAATTGTAACTGTACGAAGAAATAAATAAGAGATGAAAATTCGTATAATTTTATTATAATAATAAAAGACCATTACATCAAACTCAGACTATAATATCGATCCCCTACCAATATTCATTGGATTTATTTTAGCCTTAACAAGCTAAAAAAGAGCTGTGTCCCTTCGTCAGTCAAACCTCCAGTATTTGTTTGAGTTGACCTACAGGTATCTCAAATATTTCTCTTTGAGATAACCAGATATTTTATATTGTATTTAGATATTGTGTATGGTATGTTGGATTGCTGTCTCCTGATCACTTAACCCTACATTTCCAACTGGTATATTCTAAATAGTTATTTAAAACAACAATAAACCGGAAAGAACAACTTGCATTTAACTGCCTTCTCAACATTATTTTTTTTCATTTTTCCGTTTTTGTGTGCCAGAATCCCTTGTAAGTTGTTTTAACCTGTTAAGTTCTTTAAATTTAAAAAAAAAAAAAAAGTTTCAACTATATATTCATACGGTATTTTCATATAAACTACCTTGCTAAGAAAGTCTACTTTGCAGTTTTTATACAGATTATTTAAGAAATATCTTACCTTTAGAAGCAGATCTTCTAGCTTTCCTCAATTTCTCTTTTTCTGAGGAAAAATAATAGAATGAAAATCCCCAAAAGAGATAAATACATTGTTTACAATAAAAAAAAAAAAAAAAAATGATTTCCTAGGCAATTAAAAACCATAGGATTTCACTGAAAACCCTGTATTTCAACTCCTCTGACTTCTTCATACAAAAACAGATGATATCAAGACTTTGTTGATGAATGAATGAAGTGAAAAAAACTTAGAAAAATATAGTTTCTTGCATTTTCTTCTTTATTTCCATAAAAAGTCAATATTACTCCAGGCTCAGAGGAACAAGGAGTACTTGGCATTTTACATAAAATTGATAAAATGAAACAGGCTGGCTAGGAATGTTTGTGTTGCATGGAAGCTGTGTGGGCCAAAATCTTGTCTTTCTGATAATTTTTGCTGGACAGAGCTTCTGTGTATCCATTACAGTTTTCAAAACAAAAGGCAAAACATGGACTAAAATTATGATTAAGGAGGTACATAACACTACAGGGAGATAACTCTGTAAAAATCAGGTGACCGTTTCAATCACATTCTAGTGTTAAGGAAATATTAAGCTTCTCAATGATCAAAATTAGTGTTTGTCAAACTGCTATATATCCAATGAAATTTTTCAGATTAAGTGTGTGGTTCAAGTTTTTTGAAATTTTTATACTTTTGTCAAAGGGTCAAAGTAAATATTTTTTCAAAATTTTATGAAAATTAAACGAGCCAAATTAATTTAAGTCCAGGTGTTTGGTATAACCTTAAGGAGCAACATCTCCTGTTAGAGTCAACTGATGATTTCAATCATATTGACTTGTTTTGCTGTTTGAAGTCGGATCTATTATCAAGGAAAACAAGAACAATACAAGACCTGGACCTGTGTCGCTGCATACAATTGATTGGGCAAACATGTACACTGAAACATATCAATATATTCTACGATCAATCTCTTTCATAGAAGCCAAGAAAAGTTTGATGAAAAAGTTTCCTTGTAGAAATGTGTTGTAAAATTGCAAACTATTGGCAAACAAGAAGTGGTTGCAATGCTGAAGTAAAAATTGCTTACATGTTACAGTTAAACATTATCAAGCTCCAGACCAAATATAGTATAATTCCATTCCAATCGTAGACAACAAAAGTTTGACAAAATTTTCCTTGTACAATGATTGTTGTAAAATTTCAAACTATAGACAAACAGAAAGTGGCTGCATGGCTAATGTAAAAATTGCTTCCATGGTACAGTCAACATTATCAAGTACCAGATCAAAAATAAATTCATTATCATCTATAGAAGCCAAGAAAAGCTTGCCAATGAGTGTTGTAAAATTTAAATCTATCGGCAAACAGCAAGTGGCTGCAGAGCTAAAGTAAAAATATCTCCAATAAGGTGTTGACTATCAATTTGGGCCATGTTATAAGAGGTTTTATTTTTCTGATTAAATTTTCCAAGCCAACTTTTTTTTTATCTGTAAAATTTTTCATGATATTAGACAATAATTGAATTTTACCCCTAAGTTCTATTTTCAACTATAGAAGCCAAGAAAAGCTTGCCAATGAGTGTTATAAAATTTAAAACTATCGGCAAACAGCAAGTGGCTGCATAGCTGATGTAAAAATATCTCCAATAAGGTGTTGACTATCAATTTGGGCCATGTTATAAGAGGTTTTATTTTTCTGATTAAATTTTCCAAGCCAACCTTTTTTTTATCTGTAAAATTTTCCATGATATTAGACAATAATTGCATTTTACCCCTATGTTCTATTTTAGCTATGGTGCTCATGTTTGTTGGCTGGCAGTTCATCAGACATAATTATGAGCTAGATACTCTAAGGATGATTGTGGGAAAGTTCGGTTGCAATTGATCTGGTAGTTTCAGAAGAGAAAATTTTTGTAAAAGTCAACAGACGACGAGTGACAACAGACACTAGAAACCAAGGATAGCTCACACTGGCCCTTTAGTCAATTTGAAATATAAACAGACCTTGGTGTGGTCAAAACCTCAGCAAATATACTGGGTAATTCTAAAAACTAACCTTGAAAGTTAGGTGCTTATGTTTTGTAGTACACTAAAAAACCATGTCAAATGCAAACAACAAAAATCAGTAGACCACTAATATTAAGAATTCACATGGTGTGGAAATTTCTGCATTAGCAGTGTATATTGTGTTACATAATTAAATACAAGAATAGTAGTAGTTTCAAAATACAAACCTTTCTCATCAACAGAATTCTTCAGAAATTTCTATAAAAAAAAAATAAAAAATATACACATAATTTTTCAGATTGTCTAGTTTTGACATATGCATTAGATTCTGAATCTAAAATACAAATTAAATTCATTTCCAAATAGAATTTTTTTTTCAGCAAAAAAAGTCATAGACCTTTGTTAAAATCCTATTTTTTTCTCAACATCTTCTCTGCATACTAAAAATTGATATAATAATTAAGGATACTGTGGATTCAGTATTATTCGTGGATACCAATTTTCCAAATGGGAAAAATTAACCAAAAAACACGAAATCAAGTATCCATGAAAAGGCAATTTTTCCTCAATCCACGAAAATTGGTACCCTAAAATAAATAAATCCACAATAAATAATTTCTAAAAGTGATTTGTAATTAATGCAATCAGCATGGAATATACAAGTAAATTTTTATGAAAACTTTCCGACAAATCAACAGTAAAAACCTATTTGTCAAAGTTAAGGTGATGATTAAAATGTAAAGAAGTTAAGTTATTTGAGATCAATGGCATCAACAGTCCAAAAAAAGTAAATACTAGTATGAATAAGTAAATGTTTTGTGTAGAAAGTAATTGTTGGGCTGATGTCTCACTGACGTTTACCCACACATCTCCTGTTAGTCATAGCACTATTTTACAACTCTTACATTCTGATCATAAATTCAAGTTACGTTTGGGATTCAAACTAAGACACTTAATTAGTTATTTTTTATGGTTGTTTATTTAAAATTGTCGCGACTTCAAAATTTTCACAAAAAGGTTTTAACTTATAAAAGTTCAATTCAGAATATGCATAAGTGCATAGACAAATAACAAAGCATGCTATGTGGTTTACTTTTATAAATTTTGACTTGGATGGAGAGTTGTCTCATTGGCACTCATACCACATCTTCTTATATCTATATGATTGTGAAAACAATGTTGATTCATTATTGTTTGTGAGGTAACAGATTTTCAAGTAATTCTAGGGAAATGGATAATTTCAAATTTAAATGTTTTTAACATTATACAAGTTGTCTATAAGTTTTGTTTGTAAGTTGACTTTGTTAAAATCGAGAATCCAATAAAGTAAAACTTTCCTCTGGTTGGTACTTGATGCTCTTCCGCTAAGCAAATGACATTTTGGAGTAAGAGTACTAAGAACAAAGACTGGTTAGATCAGAGTCAAAATAATGTGTCCCAGTAAAATGATGTGTCTTCTTAGGACTGTTTAAAATCCAGCCTAGTCTTTCAGTTTAGTACAAAACAGGGCTCATATTTTTATTACTATGAATTCATTAATTTTTTAGGGTACCAATTTTCATGGTTTGAGATAAACTTGCAATTTCGTGGATATTTGATTTTGTGGTTTTGCTTAAGTCTGCATATATTCATATGGAAAATTTGTATTTCGTTGAACTTTTAAATTCGTGGTTCGCCTGTACCTACAAAATCCACGAAAATTGGTATCCAACGAATAATAATGAATCCACAGTATCTTAACATGTTCTCGTCCTGATATGCATGTAATATTTGCTGCTGGTCGTTAAAGTTAAACACCAATCCATCTATCTATCAATAGAGGTTGAAACAATATAATTCAATAATTAATGTCTAACTTGTAGTTCTTTCTTCTGCTTTTTATACTGTTCATAAACAAGTTGTTTATCAGTGGAGCCAAATAATTTCCTCTTTACATCATCAGCTCTTCCACTTGTGTCTGAATTATAATGTATCCCCATGTCAGCTGGAGAATCATCTAAGGGGGAGGTAACTGGAGTTATCAACTTCTGATGCCAGGATTTCTATAAAATAATTAGATAGTTGAATAAATAACTTTTCTTAATTTGTTAATACAAATGTTTTTTGAACTGCAGTTCACACAATCTTCTTAAAATCAGATCTTTCACTATCCTTCTATAGATTTGTATGCCACAGAGTGTAAGATCTGAAGACATTCCATGAGAGGTTATATTGAGATGACCTTTTAGCATCCAATCAAATCTATCCTTACAAAAGTGTTGGTAGTTTGCACTTTTGGCTATCTAAAAAATTGTGTCTGGTGACCTGTGAAATACTTCTGAATATAGTCTGGGATTCAATGTTCTTACCATATAATTTCCAGACATCATTCTAAATTCTATGCATCTTACTGATGGTGAAAATTTCTGAATTAAGCAGAACAGTAATTTTTTTTCGTTTAATTCATTTTAAATATGATACATTGTAGATTGATAACATATTTAATCAAGTTAATGGAAAAATTTTGATTTAAATTTGTTTTTTTTGCATTTGGGGGGAAAATGTAATCGAAGTGCCAGAATGTCACTCCAAATGATTGGCTGATTAAAAATATGCACATAGAGTCATCATAACCTGACCTAATATTACACACTATGCAAACAATTCTAACAGACCATAGCTATAAATTTCAGTTGACAAGTTCAAAAGAAAGAAATGCATTGGAATTTTGGGTCCTTTTCAAGTTCTTACTTTAATTGACTTTTTCATCTTTTCTTGTTCAAGTGTCACTGATGAGTCTTGTAGATTTGTCCTTTGTGCCTTTTATGTTGTGAGGGATGTATAAATTGCCTGCCACGTCTGGTCTGTGTTTTTGTTATGTATTTGTTGACTTTGTACTGTATTTTATTGAATACAGTTTCAAAAGTTGTGAAAACAATCTGACATTTATTAGAGTTGTTACATTAGTTTCCTGCTTACATCTCACAACTCATTTCACAAAAAAATCTTGTGCAAGTCATGAGCATTTTAGTATCACTTATAATCAATTCAAGTTGTAATATTTCGTGTGAAAAGAGCATCATATTCATTTAGCAATCATGTGTCTTATTATGGTAAGGATTCCTAAGTGTTAAAAAAAAAAATTTCATGAATATCGAGATTTTGTATTCCTGCCAACAATATAGTATAAGTGTACTCACTGCCTCTCTCTTGTATTGATATCTTATATCCAGCCCTGAAATCCTCAATATCAACCAATGAAAACCAATCACCAAGAGGTAGTAACCAAAAACGAGGTTCAACAAAAATATTTCTGAGGTAGGGAGAATCTGGACAGGTTTCTTTCTAAACAAAATAATAATAAAAAAAAAGAGTCAATAAAAATGCTCAAAAATTAGGAGAATCTTGACCAGCATATTAAATCCTGAATAAAATTTAAAAAAAACACAGAATTAATCAAAATACTCTGTTAATATTATCTGGACAGCCACAATCCTGAAAAAATTGAAAAACACAAAATCAACCAAAACATATATAGTATTAAGACAATCTGGACAGGTACAATCCTGAATTGAATAGAAAATAAAACACAGAACTAACAAAAGTACTCTGCTACTGGAAGAATCTGGACAAAAACCTTCCAGAATAAATGATAAAATAACCTTATTTCTTTTGATCATAATTCAAACTGAACAAGAATGTGTCCATAATACACGGATGCCCCACTCGCACTTTCTATGTTCAGTGGACCGTGAAATTGGGGCCAAAACTCTAATTTGGCATTAAAATTAGAAAGATCATATCATAGGGAACATGTGTATTAAGTTTCAAGTTGATTGGACTTCAACTTCATCAAAAACTACCTTGACCAAAAACTTTAACCTGAAGGGGGAAAGACAGACGGACGGACGGACGAAAGGACGAACAGACCAGAAAACATAATGCCCCTACTACTATTGTAGGTCGGGCATAAACATATTAATATTCTTCTATTTTTTCTTAATTAAGTTAATCTAGGTTTCCTAGTATACATTCAATATGTATTAGTTAACCAATGCAGATCGCCTCATAACCTTTCTTACATGGTATGCAAGATAAACTAACTGTTTGAATTGTCTCATATCATTTTTTCGTAAAAGTTAAAACTAACCAATATGGATTGCCATGTACACCTTTCATCTACAAGGTAATGGATAAAATAAACAAATATAGATTCCAAGATATTCCTTTCCTCCAGTAGTTTTCATAAAGAATGACTGTGCATTACTTTCTCATTCTTTTCTTCAAATAATTTAAATAATCAGAGTGGATTTACACTTCACTTTAATTAATGTTTGATACAGTGACTGGTTCCCTTCCTTACATAATTTGAAAACTGTTATGCTTTTCCTGTATACTGTGGATTCATTATAATTTGTGGGCTAGCAATTTTTGTGGATTATGTGACTAATAGATGAACACAAATTAAATGTTCAAGAAAGTACAAATTTACTTAAGGTATATTAAGTTGTATACCACCATTTCACAGGTACTTGTCTCAGAATTTTTTTTTCCTATATACTTTAATATAACACAAGGTACTTAACTCACATTTTTGAAAAATGTCACCCGGTTGCGAAATTCCGTTATATTTCGATTTCTAGGTTGTCAACCCCACTAAACTTGTTATGCCGTAAATGTAAATTGATTTATCTACACAATGGTGTATAACACGCCTACCTTTGTTGTCGGAATCATTTGTAGCAGGCCTACCGAAGTTTGTCAACCGTAATTATTTCGTCTACCAACACTCGATTGGAAATATAAAAAAGTGTTTTTCATGAATAATCAATGCAAAATTGGGCAATTATGCACGACATGTAGCTTGAATTAGCCCAGTGCCCCATACTTTTTATTTTATTTTTGAAAAAAGCAAGGTAAAATCTACATTTTGGCAAGTTATAAGAGAATTCTATCTAAAGGAATATATACCAATGATCCACCTTAAGGCTTCTATCTTGAGGATTATAAACTTTGATAGACTTGCCAGTTGAGATGCCTTACTTTTCTTAACTTTCATAGCTTTCATAGCTACTTAACAATAGTGTTACAATCTTCATAAATCCAAAAAATTAGTAATCACGAAACTAAATAAATCTACTGTAAGAGAAAACTTACGTGAGAGGATGGACTGGTATGCCTCTCTCATTGTAAATAACCTCATACTTCATCAGTGAGGGTTCATGGTAAGTTGTCAGTACTCTGGTCATAGTAAAAAGACAAAGACCAGACTCTCCGATGGATATTGGTGACCACAGGGACATCACTGCTTTAATCAATCCTATCATTATAAAGAGATCAAAATTTCATGATGATGATGAAGAACAACAATTTAAGAACTGTTATTGAATATAGTGTTTCACTCATGGAATTTTCGTCTTGTGTAGTTAGATATATTCGCATATGTAAACCTGCCACATGCAGGGTTCAAACTCACAACCTCAGTTTTGACAGGCTAGCGATACAGTAGATGAACTAATAAGATCACTCAGCCCCTTCATGTTATCGTGAAATGTTCATAACGACTATATTTCACACCTGAATGATTTCAAACACATGCACCTTGAAGTACTTTATTTCATGAATTTCATTTTTTCATGGCTCTGTTGAAAAGTTAATGGTTTTTTTATGGTTTAATATTTTGAACACAGAAAAACCAACAAGAATATGCATTTCAATGGGTTTTTATGGGTTGATAATTAGTCCAATGAACAAAGATAAAATCCTGGGTGTCATTCCAAGAAATTTGTGTTGTCATCATGCTGTTTCATGATGATGTTGGGAGTGACGACATTGAATTGACTGTCCTATATTTATTCAGATAAATGTGGCATATGCAAAGCCAAAACAGCCATTTACCTACTGTGAATTCATTATTATTCGTTGGGTACCAATTTTAGTGGATTTCGTAGGTACAGGTAAACCACAAGTTTAAATGTTCAACGAATTACACATTTTCTGTAAGGTTGTATACAGACTTTGGCAAATCCACGAAATCAAATATCCACGAAAATGCAATTTTTACTCAATCCAAGAAAATTGGTACCCACGAAAATAAATGAATCCACAGTATCAAAATTCTAATCAGGTGACCAATCAAATTTGAACTTTATATTACCTATACTGAACAGCAATATAATTAACACACATAACAGGAACAATGGATCAAATGGTCCTGGAAAAATTCCTAGACTGAAGATTACTGTATGTCTGTAATAACCATGGATACCGCACTGAAATATAGAAAATATACATTTTTCAAATATACAAATATTGTATGGACATGACTTTTTGTACGTTAAAGACCAAAATTCTGTTCTAAACCAGAAGAGCAAAAGTTCCATATTTTTTTTCCACAAAAAAGAAGTTATTTATAGAAAAGTAGAAATTGTTGAATCTATTCCCTAAAAAATATAAATAAAAATTCAAAGTGTGGAAGCATCAAAACACTTCTAGTATCATGAGATAGTAGCACAGAAAGATATTGTATTTGCAGTGGTCACAGTTGATAAATGTTGCTACTTTTTAAGAGTCATTTTATATTACCCTGTGAATCATGCATAGCTGACCTTTGACAGTTTATCTATTTTTGCATGTGTTTATTGGTTAAACAGTACATTTGCTTTGTATATTTTGAATGAAGACTATATCCACAAAAGTGCTTCATAGGCACAGCAAATTTTGTTTGTTGCACTTTGATTGCATGGGATAGTAAACTAAATAGCTGTACTTATTTGACAGATGTTGAATCTTGTGCTAAAATAATTTAAAGCTGCTAGTTATTTATGTACCAGACCAATTATCAGCCATTTGATTGTCCAAATGTCTTTTAATTCCTGTAGAAAGATACAAAATTTGTAGCAACTTGGCGATGCCTCAAATAAGTATTCAGGAAATTTAAAAGCAAGCTGGTTGAAAAGTGGTCAAAATCATTGAATTAACATGGAACTCAACAGGAGGCCTATTTGGTGCACAGCCTCTTTAATACTTTGGTCATCATTGGGTTCAGTTATTTTCCCCTTGACTTAGACTAAATGTGATAAGGATAACAAATATACTAAAAATGTTTCTGCGGAATTATACTTACATTACAATTTTGGTAGGGATAACATATACATTGGCAATGTTTCTGTAGAATTATCTCCCCTATACTCACATTACACATTCAGTACATTGGCAATGTTTCTGTAGAGTAATCTCCCCTGTATTTACATTACACTTTCTGTAGGGATAACAAATACATTGGTTATGTTTTTATAGAGTTATCTCCCCTATACTTACATTTCACTTTAGTTATGTATAAATAACAATTACATTGGTGATGTTTCCTTAGAGTTATCTCCCCTATACTTACATTTCACCTTCGGTAGGGATAACAAATACAATGGTGATGTTCCTGTAGAGTTATCTGCTCTATACTTATTTTACACTTTCTGTATGTATAGATATCAAACAAATACATTGGTGATGTTTCCATAGAGTTATCTACCCTATACTTACATTACACTTTCCATAGGGATAACAAATACATTGGTTATTTTTTGGTAGAGTTATCTCCCCCATACTTACATTACACTTTCTATATGGATAACAAATACATTGGTGATGTTCCTGTAGAGTTATTTCCCCTATAATTACATTACACTTTCTTTATGTATGGATAACAAATACATTAGGTATGTTTTTGTAGAGTTATCTCCCCTACACTTACATTACACTTTCTGTAGGGATAACAAATACATTGGCGATGTTTTTGTAGAGTTATCTCCCATTTGTCTTCATCATTCTCACCAGCAACTTGCACTATAAAAAAATAAATAATGTTGATAAATGCATTGATCATTTGCATATTATCTTAACCTTGCCCGATTACAAATTTATTTTTTCATCATATTATACTTGAAGAAACATTTTTAAGAGAGTAAAAATTGGTACTTTTTTGCCACAAGTGATTAAGGCTACAACATTCACCATACTATAATTTGGACATAAATACTTTGCAAGCACAGTGCAAAACAGTCCAAAAAAGGCAACGATGGAGGCTTCCATATAGAACCCCACCCAGAAAGTACCTATAAAAGTCAGATTTGAAAATGGGGTTAATACTGATGAGGGCTATTTTGTGGAAGGGTAGGTTGGATCTTAAAAATCCCCCCACAGCAAACACACTTTTTTTTTTGTTACTTTGCAAACATCAAATGATTTTCACCCAAAATGACCCACACCCATGTCAAAATATAATACTTTCCTTCCTACCCTCCGCCATTCATTTTAATGGAATAGCCCTGATACAAACTTTTCTTATTTTATATGAAAAAAAAATTAGTGTTTAAAGAAGAATTTAAACTTGAAAGGCATTGATTATTAACTTCTCATAACTTACAGACATAAACTTGTATTGAATGCCTTAAATTCTACTCAAAAGAAGTAACTTTTGTGCAGCTAGTATTAGGAACTTATGGCATCCATTATAAAATTACAACAAATTAAGAAGCTGCAGTTTGTGTTAAATATTTGATTAATCATTTTTCCTTCTATTAATAGCAGAAGCTTTGTAACAAAATCACAGTACAAGGGGGTAACAGAGTTCGAAAAGAATACTGTCAAAATTTCACAAGAGTGCACACGCTGAAATGTCTCGCCTACTATACTGACCATTGATTTAATGTTGATAGTCCTACATATTAAGTTTTACTACAAGTATCACATTAACATTTATGATCCAAAAAAATGAGGTCAAGGTCAAATAACCCAAGCCGGAAATACATGTACACCTATAATACAATCCCTCCATACACAGAATATAGATGACCTATTGCTTATAGTATAAAAGAAACAGACCAAACCATGGAAATTCTATACTGAACAATGAACCATGAAAATGAAGTCAAGGTCATTTGAACCCTACCAGACAGACATGTACACCTGAAAATCATTCCATGCATCAAATATAGTTGACATATTGCTTAAGGTATCTAAGAAAAAAAGTTAACCAGGAATACCGGACATTGACCAATCTACCATGAAAATGAGGTGAAGGTCAGATGGTACCTGCCAGACAGACATATACACCTTACAATCATTCCATACACCAAATATAGTTGACCTATTGCTTAAAGTTTAAGAAAAACAGACCAAAACACAAAAAATTGACATAAGCAATGAACCATGAAAATGAGGTCAAGGTCAAATAAAGCCTGCCAGACTGACATGTACATCATTAAATATATCCATACACCAAATATAGTTTACCTACTGCATACAGTATTAGAAAAACAGACCAAAACACAAAAACTTAACATTGAGCAATGAACCATGAAAATGAGGTCAAGGTCAAATAAAACCTGCCAGACTGACATGAACATCATAAAATATTTCCATACACCAAATACAGTTGACCTATTGCATACAGTATTAGAAAAACAGACCAAAACACAAAAACTAAACTATGACCACTGAACCATGAAAATGAGGTCAAGGTCAGATGACACCTGCCAGTTGGACATGTACACCTTACAATCATTACATACACCAAATATAGTAGACCTATTGCTTATAGTATCTCAGATATGGACTTGAACACGAAAACTTAACCTTGTTCACTGATCCATGAAATGAGGTCGAGGTCAAGTGAAAACTGTCTGACAGGCATGAGGACCTTGCAAGGTATGCACATACTAAATATAGTTATCCTATTTCTCATAGTAAGAGAGAAATTAACATTAAAAAAATCTTAACTTTTTTTTCAAGTAGTCACTGAACCATGAAAATGAGGTCAAGGACAATGGACATATGACAGACGGAAACTTCATATCATAAGGCATCTATATACAAAGTATGAAGCATCCAGGTATTCTACCTTCTGAAATATTAAGCTTTTAAGAAGTTAATTAACGCCGCAGCCGGATCAATATCCCTATGTCGAGCTATCTGCGACAAAAGTCACAGGCTCAACAAAAACCAATATACATTGTACATTGGTAATTCTTTTAATAGCATTAAAATTACTTTTTTATTTTCAATGTAACAAATTTTAAAATCTTATATTTATACATTATTATTCCTTGGATACAAATTTTAATGATTTCCTTGGGAACAGGAAAACCATGAATATAAATGTTCAATGAATTAAAAATATTTTATAGGCTTGTGTGCACAATATGGCAAAACCACGAAATCAAATATCCTCAAAGTTTTCTTCAATCCACAAAAATTGGTGCCCATGAAAATAAATGAATCTACATTAATCATTTTTTACTCTTATTAACAGCAAAAACTTTTGAACAAAATCACAGTATAAGGGGGTCACAGAGTTCCCATAGAACATTGTCCAACAGTCAAAAACCAGTATGACCCTTATTGGAGCAGTAAAATACGAGTTTTACTGTACCAAAAGTCCATTAAAATTTTCAAAAATTTTTCATTATATATAAAATTGTTGTTTTTCTAATAAATTATGTTCCGACCAGTAAATAATAATCCTATATCCAATCAAATCAATTAAAACTAATGAGAATTTATTTCTTTGGGGTGGTGGTTGAGGGAACCAATTCTCAGGCATTGGAGAAAATCAAACTTCCATGGATACTTTATTTCGTGGTTTTAAAGATATTCAGATACAAGCCTTTAGGAAATTTGTACTATCTTGACCTCTTTATTCATTTTACATCTGTACCTGTTTATAAGCTTCTGCTGTTTGTAATACCATTCAGGGTCATGAAATTTAGTACTCCACGATTAACAAAGAATCACCAGTATCTACTTGTTAGATGATAACCTTACATGTACAAGAAAATACTCCGTCAGGTATCCCAGTCTTGAAGGGCAGTTCTGCATGTTGTGTCTTGTGTGGTGGTAACTGTATTGATGTTGAAACCTCTCCAATGATTGTGACGTTACAATTCTGTAGCTGTACAGAAACATCCTTCATCATATATCCCTGGTTATATAACATGATATGTAATGTCTCTGTCTGACTGTTGTCTGTGTATTCTATCTCTCTAATTACCTGTGTGAACCTAGAAAATAAGACGATGATGATGGATGGCTGTTTAAAATCCAGCGTCAAATTAAATGCATATTCAGGACAACAACATTCTAATGTTATATGAATATGAATCCTGCTTTGTACTAGCCCAACATGCTGAGCTGAATTTTTAACATGCTAGTTCAAAAGGCAAAGAGCACAGGTCACCCTACCCAGACACATTAAGATGACTCAGAGCCCATCATCTTTTCTCCTCTCCTTAGTGCCATGTGACTAGCGAAGAAGCAGCAAATACCAATTTCAAAGTCTTTGGTTTGACCTGTCAGTGGTTCAAACCCATGACCTGCCGCACTCGAGTCCAACATGCTGCCACGAGACAACCAAAGTGGAGGAAGAGAAGAGATGTGATGCATAGGTACATAGATGCCAACCCCCCTTTTAGTGCAATCAGTAAATAAGTCTTTATATTTCGATAATTTGTGGTTTATCACAGTAACCTTTTTTTATTTAATAATCATACTAACGATTAGGCAAACTAACAATGACAAGGAAGTGATTTCCTTTATCTATCGGGGCCTCGGTGGCCGAGTGGTCTAAGTAGTTACTACTGTAATCACTAGCCAGTCAACACTGAGTTGTGATTTCGAACCGCGCTCGCGCAGGTGCACTCGACTCAGTTTTCCTTCCGAAGGTCGGTGGTTTTCTCTGGGCACTCCGGCTTCCTCCACCAATAAAAACTGGCTGCCACAAAATAGCCCAAAAGCGGAGCTTAAAAGTGGCGTTAAAACACCAAAAATCAAATCAATCAAATCCTTTATCTATGACAAATACTGTGGATTAATTATTATTTCCGGTCTGATGTCACCCAAAATCAGAATTTCGGTTATAAGCATAGTCCTTTTATTGCATATTTTTTTCTGACAAGAAGGCCATGCAATTAACCTGAATCCACTTCTTATGATACCAATTTTCATGGATTTTGTGGGTACAGGTTATCCACAAATTGAAATGTTCAACAAATTACAAATTTTCTGTAGGCTTGTATGCAGACTTTGGCAAAACCATGAATTTCAAAAGTTTTCCTCAATCCGTGAAAAAAGTACCAATGAAAATAAATTAATCCACAGTATGAAAGAAAGTTAATGGGCAAAGGAGGAACATTGACAATTGTGTTTGATGGAACAGTCTTGTTTTACAAATTATTGCAAATGGCAAAATGTTTTGATGTCGATTTTGTTGTCCGAGAGAATTTATTATCTTTTGTTACAGGCTTAACAAAATTCACCATAACCTAAAATGGTGTGAACCATGCATGGTGATATAAAGTTACCAATCTCATAAATTATGTGAACAAGGAGGGCAACATCCAACTTATGTGGAATCAGAACCTTCACTTACTGTTTGAGTACTATAAGAAGGTCATCAGCTGCTATTGATATAGACAGTACAGCCTGGACATTAGATATAGGAACAACTAAAGACCATTGGAATCTCTCAGACTTTATTATCTTTGGAACACCTCTAATTCTATCCTGTAAAAAGTACTGTCTATCTGTCTTTTTCAACTTTCTTTCCTGGAAAATATAATAAGCTCATTTTAAATGTACAGATATTAGCAAATCATATACTGTGGATTTATTTATTTTCGTGGATACCAATTTTCGTGGATTGAGGAAAACTTGCATTTTCAGTGGATATTTGAATTCATGGTTTATCAAAAGTCTGGATACAATCCTATAGAAAATTTGTACTTTGTTGAACATTTAAGGAAGTTCGCTTGTCATGTTTTGGAATTTTTGTCAGATTTTCGGAATCCTCTGGTTTTATCTATTTGAATGCCTTAAAAAATTTTGCCCATTGACCCCCATTTTTCTTTTTAAAAATCTTTTACATGTATAATTATAAGCCATCTGTAAGAGTCTTATAAAATCTTAATTATTTTTTAATAGTTTTTGAGAACTTTATCTTGTCAATGATAAAGCTATGAAAAATCAAGAGAGGATATTTTCCCGCCAAAATTTCAATGGCTAATATCTCGAAAACAAGCACATTGACCTATATTTTATTTTTGCTCTTTTTGTTCCTTTATTAATCCCCTATCAATATATACTAGTGTTATGAAAAGCTTGTTATTTTGAAACTGAGTAGCGAACTTCCTTAAATTCGTAATTCACCTGTTTCCACGAAATCCACTAAAGTTGGTATCCCACAAATAAAAATGAATCCTCAGCAAATGTACAATGAAGTTGTGAGAACCTTTGTCATGATCTCTTCAAGCTGTTCCTTTGACACATGACACATTAACTATCATCAATAGTGGAAATGCTTAAATGTCTTGCCTGCATTATTAATTATCACTGAATTATGAAAGTCCAAGAGATCATGGTCATACTACAGATAAACCATGAAAATTTCTTTTTTTTTAATTTTATTATTTCATTTTTCTATCATATATTTCCAATTATTATATCCGTGAAACCAACATCTTGCGTTAAAATATTGTATTTCTTTTATTAAATATTAAGCTGGTTGAGAATTGCGTTTACTGGAAATATCATTAAACTGGAATGTATATATATATATGAAATTTCCATACTTTCTGATCATATGAAATTCGCAGAAATAGAATGTGTCAGTATAAACACAATTCATACTTTCTTCAGGCAAATTCTCCTAAAATTTCAATTTATAATGCTTTGGTTTAATAAAATACAGCACTGAAGATAGAGAGAATATGTTTTAACTTAAATAAATGAAATCAAAATGAAAAATAACTTAACATGAAACAAATTTGGTTAAAAAAAATTGTACTGCAAATGATTGAACAGCAATCCAAAAGTACAAGTGACTTCCTCAAATAAAGAAATTTCTGACTTTTTTCAATGTCCAACAGGCAACTTACCCAAAAGTGAACTGTTTTTCAAATTTTTAATAATAGTATAAAAAAAGAAATGAAGGTGTCTTAGCTGACACATATATGATATATTAATACACGTTCCCCTGCCAATTCCTCCCTCCCCCCAACTTTTTTGTTTTGGGTATTATCAAACAAAAGAACAAGATGTAAACAACTGCAAAAGAACAGCAAGAACAAGATATGAATATCTGCAAAAAAACAACAAGAACAATTTTAAGATATGAACAACTGCAAAAGAACAACAAGAACAAGATATGAACAACTGCAAAAAAAAAAAACCAACAAGAACAAGATATGAACAACTGCAAAAGAACAACAAGAACAAGATATAAACAACTGCAAAAAAAAACAAAACAACAAGAACAAGATATGAACAACTGCAAAAGAATAACAAAAAACTTTAATCCTACCATATCCTCTAACCAGAACTGCATTGGTTGGTTCTCTAAACAGCTACAAATTTTGGAGTATTAAGTATACAAAATACAAAATGTATATGAATCCTCCAAGAAAGACATGTATCTCCTAATGTCTCCAATAAAGTAAAAAGACGGCACTGCCAAATGGTGCTCTCTTAGCTAGTCATTTATTAAGAGAACATTTTTTATTACAAGTGTTCAAAATACAAGTATGCTTGGAGAGACAAATAAACCATAAAGGTACTATGTAAAAATGAAATCTGATATTCAAAAATTTATGTGTGAATAGAACACTTAGAAAATGTTTATACTGTACAGTAAATAAAGTTGAGGATGAGATACCGGTACACTTTGTGACTGAATGCCCACTATATGTTGATAACAGAAATGAGTTTTTCACTGAAATGTCTTTAACCTGCAATAATTTTCAATCTTTAGACAATCTTTCGAAGTTTTCATGGCTATTTACACAAGAAAATTTAGATGTATATAATTGTTTGGGAAAGTATTTATCTAAAAATCTGAAGATAAGGAGAAGTTCAAAGATAATAAATGCAAATTAGCCACACATATACTTATTTTGAGTGGTATATTTTATAGATGTTATTTGTATTATCTGGTTCTGTCCTGGCCTTATATAACAGTTATTGTAAAACGGTGTTGTTTTCTTTTATGTTTCTCAATTTATGTCTAATCTCATGTATTTGTATGTAATGTGATAAAAGCTCTTTAAAGAGCCTTTTAATTTGAAAACTAAAATATTCTTATTCTTATACGAAACTAACGAGGTTAAAGAGACAGTGTTCCATCACTGTGCAAGCGGTAAATACTGCATATCAAAGGCAGTTCATTACACATTTATTGTTGAAAATGATAATAAATTGTGTAGTATTGTTAAACAATTTATTTTAATCAAAGCGTAATAATGTACGTTGTACATATGGGTCAAAGAAACAAATCTATTTTTAGAACAATTGGTTCAATTTCTGTATGCCAGGTAAAACAAAATGTGTTTATAAAATTTATTGAAATAATACAAAATACAATAACATGAATGACATCAGACATATAACTTTTATTAGAATAAATCATCATTCAATACGTTGCTAGTGGATCTTCCGTCTTTCTTCTTCAGGGATTTCACTTTTCCAGGAATCTACGAATTTCCACTCCCTGGTTAATTCGTAAACCTTTTTCCTTTCTCATGTATCCCCTGTGGTTGACTTTATTTTCAAAGGCTTGCCCGGAATAGCCCCTGGTAAGTATTGTAGTAAAGCCATATCAATATTATGATCTAGTTTGCATCATCATCGTTGGCTGTTCGGAACAGGTTTCTCTAGACTTTTCTCTATATTTTACCAACACTACACATGACTTTGACATGATTTAAAAAAAAAAGAAAAGGTTCTAAATCGTCTTACACGCATGGCATGCATGATAGTCATAATCAGTGAATGTATCTTTTTTTAAATTAATGTATACATAGTACTGATTTTTCTGATCTAAAAATAACGATTAAAAATTTTGACAATAGAATTATACAAGAATTTAATTTTAGATGCAAACAACGACAAGAAGTTTTATCGGACAATTAATTGGACCTGTGGTTTTAATAAAAATACTGGACCAAAGGGAAATTTACAGGACATGGTCCGTCGGTCCAGTGCTAATTTCAAGGACTGAAAATCAATAGGCTTCTTCACCTTCCCTTTATCTTCCATCAGTATAAGTTTCATTTGAATGAAGCATTTTTCATTTTTTTTAATTTTAGTAATATTGACCTTGACCTTTGATATATTGACTCCAAAATAAATATGCTTCTTTCCCTTTCTTATATCTTTAATCTGTCTAAGTTTCATTCCAATCAAACATGGCATACTCAAGTCATCATCCAGAAACTATTTATTTTGGACACACAGACAGACAAACAAAAGGATAATTATATGCTCCATTAATTTTTTCGGTGAGGATAATAATGTAAAAAGAAATTGCAAAGACCATGTTTAAGTACAGGAAACCCCAAAAAAGACTCAAATAAAAATTACAAAAGCAGCCCTTTGCACAACTTTATGTTTAGTAGAAGAAATTGTCAACATTTTTTAAAGGAGTTGGGGATGAATAGAATGCCAAAAAAAAGAAATTTTCCCTATGTGTCCTTACAGCTTCACTGTTAGGCAACTCAATAATATTGAAATATGGTAAATTCTTATAGATTTTGTAAAAGGCATTTTTTTCTAGTCATGAAATAAATATTTTTTGGGCAGGTTATAATATACTGTGGATCTATTATTATTCGTGGGATACTAATTTTCATAGATTTTATTGATAGACATTAATCACAAATTCCAATGTTCAACAATATACATTTTCTATTGGCTTGTCTGTGGAATTTGACAAAACCATGAAACGAAATATCCCAAAAATTGTATTTTTTCCTGAATCTAATGGTACCAAATTGGAATCCACAAAAATAAATGAGTGCACAGTTATTAATTTAATCTAAGAATATCATGTCAACTATTTGTTTTTTTTCCCAAATGCTTAGCATTGCAACTATTATCAGATGCCTTGTAAATAAACCAATTATGTTATATAATATGTTTGAACTTTTTAAGAAACAATGATTTGAAACAAAAATATTACACTACAAAATAAAATATATTCATAAGTACTTACTTCTGTGCTGATTTATGACATTTATCTGATTGGTTATTGAATGCTGCCAGTGATACACCAATCTCATTACACTCCTCCCCAATCCATGTTTTATTTAACAACATGAACTGAGACTTTTCTTCACTAGTTGTTTGTGGAATCAGTAGAATATTCCTTTTATATTTCAGTAGATCATTGTCAGTATAATTGACTAATGAATATGTGGCTGAAATCTGGAAAAAAACCAAAGAGTTATATTTACATATCATGCAAAGTATAGATATAGATATACTTTTATGACCTATGGTCTAGAAAAGCATAGGAGGATTTATGTGCATGAAAAACTAGTTAAAACCTATCAAATTAGGATATCTGGACCATGTGTTGTTTGTTGCTGTTTGTACATCAATTTTATTGTTTTTGGTAATTCATGTTATTCTTTTTATCTCATATGACCCATTTTCTAACTTTACTGATGAGTTTTATGTAGACGAAATGTGCTTCTGGCATTCTAAATTATATACATGGTATATTCAATGAGTTTTTACTGATATATCTATATAAGATTGATTGATTGATTGATATTAGTATAACGTCCAGTGGCAAATATTTCATACATGTTCAGGACGAGAACAGATTTGCAATAAATAGGTAGGTCCTGTAATAGAGGCTGTCCAGGATGAAGTTGTGGCAATGGCAACCATTTTCATTGATCAGCAGGAATATCAGATGATATTTGGAAATATCCATGGAGATATGACAAGTTTGGTTCTAGTTGGCTCTAACATGAGCAACACAATGGGTGCCACATGTGGAACAGGATCTGCTTACCCTTCCAGAGCACCTGAGATCACCCCCAGTTTTTGGTGGGTATCTTTCGCCTCTCTTTTGGTTAAGTGATTTCAGAGAAAACAATCTGTTTACCGGTACTTGGCTTTTCAAATAAAGAAAGTATTAAACTTTTGTTCAGTAATGTTGCTAATCTTTTATGGATTTTAAATTAATAAAAAGGGACAATTCCAAGAACATCCTGCAAAAAATATAATGAATTGGAAGATCAACTATAGATTGAAAAAAGTTCAGGGAAAATTTCCAGTACAATATAGTAAAATAACCCAGTTTGAAAGGCTGCCCTAAGACCAATTCACCAGAATTAAGTTGTAAATGACTTGGTTATTTCAAAGAAAAATATCAAATGTGCTATTGTAACCCCCACCCCGTATTCTGTTTATACTTGCACTGGCCATGTTGGTTACTAATAACAGTTATATTTAAAAATGATTCTGACCAAGTTTCCTTCAAATAGGTCCCATGGTTTCAGAGAATATTTTTTTATAAAAATGGAAGCTGGACACAGAGTCAGATGGCAATATCTCACACTGTTCTTTTTTGTAAAAAATTTTGGTGCCATGCTCCTTTTCCGCAAATTCTCATATCGATAACGATAACTTTATTTTACTAACTCAGGCACCCTGAGGTGCATCAAGAGCAATAATATACACCATGCATATATATACCATATTTAGCAAACAGAACAAAAGAAATGATAAAAACACAAAAATTTAATGAGAATGACATAAACTAACTAGTTAAATATCTAAAGAAATTATACCTATATCAATTTACCTTTGGCTCTTTTAATGCATGGTCACTTATAGTATTTCCTACTTTTGTACTGGCTACCTGATGGTTCCCTGTTTCGGTCATAATTATAACAACATCATGGTAAAGCGTTGGTTTCTCTAATTCATTCAAACTGTACCTAAAATTTTTTTATTAAAGGAATGACTGTAATATTTTTTCTGTTTATGAAGAAATAATATAAAACATGTGGTGCGCACTGAATAACCCATGTAGCTGGTTATTTAAAAGTGTGCACCACATTTTTTATGTTATTCCGAATAGACAGAAAAAATATTACAGTCATTACTTATAATTTAATTCTAAATTCCATTTTTCAGCAGTAAATCATGAAAAAAAACCATTGATGAGGTCACAGTCACATGACAAAATTATATCTATGAGCTGATAGACAAAAACGTTCGGCCAATCAGACATGTTACATCCAAAATTAAATAATTACCATATAAAATGACATGATTTAGTGTAGCTTCAACAGGTAAATAATAGAAGAATATTTTATTTAAGAAACCTCTAAGAATAAAAACTTATCTCAATCAACTAAATAGATTATGGAAATTACAAATCAGCGGAAATTAATGAAGCAATATGAATTTTAATATTTGCAGCAGGTTCTCAATTCATTTTTTTTTATCTCAATCAACTAAATAGATTATGGAAATTACAAATCAGCGGATATTAATTTAGCAATATGAATTTCAATATTTGCAGCAGGTTCTCAATTCATAAAAATGTTAATCTCTAATGGATGAAAGACATATATATCATTTGATTGTGTCATATGCTTTCAATTTGTATGAGAACTACCAATGCCCTATGAAAGAAACCCATGCCATATGAAAGCAACCTGGTCCGTGTACACAGTTATCGTCCTTTGATTTTCGTTGTCCACGAATATAGTCCCTAGTGTGGACAGTGTGTTACTTGCTAATTTATTTTATACCCCTTCCAAATTTATTTCTCCATGTTTTTTGACTCAAATAGCAAGTAGGGGGGTGAAATGACACTGTAAAAAAATTTGGGTCATGAATTTTAAAGTAAAGTAGTGATTTGGTCCAGCTGAAAAATGTTAAAAATTAGCACTTCGGAAGCTGTCAAAAGATTTGAAGACCCCCTTAACATAAAATTGTCCATATTTTGAGTTAGAGCCGATGAAGTTTTCTATAATTTTGATATAATTTGTCCCAAAAGTAGTACAACACACTGTAAAAATATTATTGAGAAAGCGCAGGTGGGATTTTTTTAATTTTCATTTATTGTCTAAAAGAAATGCACTACGAAATAACTGTGTACTCGGACCTAAGAGGTGAAATCAGGAAATATAGAATCTGTACTTTGGCAACTTCCCCGAATGATTTGATGGTGTCAATTTGTCAAATAGCATAAAACTAAAGTATTTAAACTTTTATTTCATAGAATTTCTGCAAAAATGACCAATTTGGGCATTTTATGGTCAAAATAAGCATTTTATAGCTTTTTCAATTTTGATGCATAAGTGGCATTCTGACTTTCTATCTGACAGGTTTTTATGTGTCAATATTTGTGTTTCTATGCTTCAATCCAGTTGTATTACTCATTTGTGAACTCTGAATCTACAGAAAAGAAGATTATCTCATACAATATGTGCAAAATGTGTTGTATATATGACCCTCGTCTAACGCCCTGTTTGGATCAAGTTAAATGTAAGGAGCTTGGAACATAAAAGTTGAAGTCCATAATAAAGACCTCACTAAATTTGTACAAAAAGCACTTAACAATGTCTTTTGTACCTGTTTCATGTCACATAATATCTTTCTTTTCTTCTGTAGGATAGCAAGTGGTTCAAATATAAGCCTGTTGAGACTAAAATTGCATGCATGTTTTTCACTAAAAAGTGAAAAATCTTTGTATCAGACCATACTGTCTGCAAAAAAAGTTGAATGCAAGAGTCTTTTTGTGCTCAGATGTATTGTATCATGTCACCTGAGTATAGAAATGATAGAAAAGACACAAATTTTTATTTCCTATAGCTTCAATATGCATTTTTAAATGTAAATATGTGCTGCGGCCTAAATTGACCCTAAATTATTTTCAGTCTTACTTAGCCTAAGACCCTTTTAAACTAATATGATATGTTATTTGTAAGTTTTCTTTCCATTTAAAGTACATTAAATACATATGTAAGGATTATTTATAACCAAAAAGCTTTACAAATTTAAAATTGCTGGAAAATATTACATCTTCATGTAAGGCCCCCCCTTCATTGGAAAACCTCCATTTTTAGGCACAGGCTCATATAAATTTGACTTTTTAATAATTATGACAAGTCTGATAAATCAAATGAGTACTCTATTGCTTTTAATACATAATATATTATATATTAAGGCATTTCAAAAGTATTTTTTTGCAATATTTTAATTTTTTAAGCCCCAAATGTTGATAGTTGAAATTTTTCAATTTTAACGTCTAAATTTAACATGCAAAGTTGAATATAGAATTAGTCATATTGTCAATAATATATATCCTATTGCCATGAAACTTTGTAAGCAGTCTAATAATTTATTAAGCTTTGGTCATACCAAGTTTCATTAAGATTGGTCAATTTTTTCTACCCTATTAGGTCCGTGTACACAGTTATCGTCCTTTGATTTTCGTTGTCCACGAATATAGTCCCTAGTGTGGACAGTGTGTTACTTGCTAATTTATTTTATACCCCTTCCAAATTTATTTCTCCATGTTTTTTGACTCAAATAGCAAGTAGGGGGGTGAAATGACACTGTAAAAAAATTTGGGTCATGAATTTTAAAGTAAAGTAGTGATTTGGTCCAGCTGAAAAATGTTAAAAATTAGCACTTCGGAAGCTGTCAAAAGATTTGAAGACCCCCTTAACATAAAATTGTCCATATTTTGAGTTAGAGCCGATGAAGTTTTCTATAATTTTGATATAATTTGTCCCAAAAGTAGTACAACACACTGTAAAAATATTATTGAGAAAGCGCAGGTGGGATTTTTTTAATTTTCATTTATTGTCTAAAAGAAATGCACTACGAAATAACTGTGTACTCGGACCTAAGAGGTGAAATCAGGAAATATAGAATCTGTACTTTGGCAACTTCCCCGAATGATTTGATGGTGTCAATTTGTCAAATAGCATAAAACTAAAGTATTTAAACTTTTATTTCATAGAATTTCTGCAAAAATGACCAATTTGGGCATTTTATGGTCAAAATAAGCATTTTATAGCTTTTTCAATTTTGATGCATAAGTGGCATTCTGACTTTCTATCTGACAGGTTTTTATGTGTCAATATTTGTGTTTCTATGCTTCAATCCAGTTGTATTACTCATTTGTGAACTCTGAATCTACAGAAAAGAAGATTATCTCATACAATATGTGCAAAATGTGTTGTATATATGACCCTCGTCTAACGCCCTGTTTGGATCAAGTTAAATGTAAGGAGCTTGGAACATAAAAGTTGAAGTCCATAATAAAGACCTCACTAAATTTGTACAAAAAGCACTTAACAATGTCTTTTGTACCTGTTTCATGTCACATAATATCTTTCTTTTCTTCTGTAGGATAGCAAGTGGTTCAAATATAAGCCTGTTGAGACTAAAATTGCATGCATGTTTTTCACTAAAAAGTGAAAAATCTTTGTATCAGACCATACTGTCTGCAAAAAAAGTTGAATGCAAGAGTCTTTTTGTGCTCAGATGTATTGTATCATGTCACCTGAGTATAGAAATGATAGAAAAGACACAAATTTTTATTTCCTATAGCTTCAATATGCATTTTTAAATGTAAATATGTGCTGCGGCCTAAATTGACCCTAAATTATTTTCAGTCTTACTTAGCCTAAGACCCTTTTAAACTAATATGATATGTTATTTGTAAGTTTTCTTTCCATTTAAAGTACATTAAATACATATGTAAGGATTATTTATAACCAAAAAGCTTTACAAATTTAAAATTGCTGGAAAATATTACATCTTCATGTAAGGCCCCCCCTTCATTGGAAAACCTCCATTTTTAGGCACAGGCTCATATAAATTTGACTTTTTAATAATTATGACAAGTCTGATAAATCAAATGAGTACTCTATTGCTTTTAATACATAATATATTATATATTAAGGCATTTCAAAAGTATTTTTTTGCAATATTTTAATTTTTTAAGCCCCAAATGTTGATAGTTGAAATTTTTCAATTTTAACGTCTAAATTTAACATGCAAAGTTGAATATAGAATTAGTCATATTGTCAATAATATATATCCTATTGCCATGAAACTTTGTAAGCAGTCTAATAATTTATTA